TCCTATGATGCTGCTTGGCCTGCTGTGTTCATCCAGCCCTGCACCTTTTAGTAGGATTTACTTGTTTTTGTACTCCATGACACTTTTTAAACAGCCTTCTCAATTTATCCTGTTACCTTGCCAGATTTGTGTACATGTGACTTTCGGTGTCTGTCCCTTTGCCTTCTTTAAAATTACACTATTCAGATTATGTTGTCTCTTCTTTAGTTTTCTGACTAAAATGTATCTGTTAATTCCATGATCTTTAGCATGGCATGTGTCTATCTATGTACCTCTTTCTCTCTACATAACCTGACTGGTCTGCTCAGAGGTTCCAGCCTACTCTGTTCCTGTCAAAAGACTTCCATTTATCACTTAGAATCTGTCGCTCTGCTTTCTGAGGATTCCAAGATTGATCTGTAGTGCCATAAACGAATGCTCGACTCACTGGAACATGGAGAAGTTGTCAATGAATGTGCTTGCATGGTTGCGGCTCCAAGTGAGTAAACTAGGCTGCAACAAGCTGAAGGATTAAACAAAATTTCACAGCCACTATGTGTAGCTACGGGGACTTCTTACACTTTTCATTTTGCAAATTTACTTGAACAGTGCATCAAATACAACTGCAAAAACTGACTAATAAAATGTAAAGATTGACATTGATTAGGAGGTGGGTGACAGTAAGAGCAAAGGTTGGGGTTCAACTTATAGCCTCATTGGAAAAATGTTATGGAACTGTAATACAGCCTGAGAAAGCTGGATGACTGCCCAGTGCAGAGTTCTGTGGCAGGGTCTGACGTCCTCCATTTGGATTAATGAGGAGGTGGCCAACACAAGCTATTTAGACAAGGAGGGAACAGTGTATACAAAAGCATGCCACAGAGCACACGCTACAGGAAGAGGTGCTTTTCATGACACTGGTGCCACAAAGGCAGATGTCAGATGTTGAGGTCACGGTTTTCCCTTTACACCCTCACTGACTTAATCACATTCTGTTTAAAAAAAGCCTTCCCAGGAACAAGAGTTTATAGCATGCCCCCCGGCTGACCTTATCTGCGGCTGTCTCCACGTAGCACGGGTCCTGAGGGGCAGCCAGCAGAGGAACAAAGCCTGAGAGGATCTTGTCCTCCTCCAGAACAAGTAGGGTGAGGTCCTCATCCGGGTCCTTGTACAGCGGTACCTCTGACTGGTTGACAGCTGTGAAAATGTTGCAGAACTCTGCCAGTATGGCCCACACATCGATGGCAATTCTGGAGAGGAAATTCAACAGAAAAAAACAAGAGCCAAAGGTTAGGTCACTAGGGAGAAGAAAGCGATGCTCAGCAAAGTGTTTTAGGATGTAAAGACATTGTTAATAATAAAACATTCATTCGGAACTAGAAAAACAGATGATGTTTTTATTAAGTCAGTGCAAGAACAGTTCCGGATTTTGGTCTCAAACGATTACCCAATTAGGAAAAAAGAAACAGATGCAGGTGTTGTGACTTGGAGCTTTGACACTCCTGCTCCAATTAATATATACACAGTATTTAATACTTATTTAAATGCTTTTTAGCCAGTTCATATCCAGGAAATGAAGTATTTCTATCAGAGCGCACTTTTCTCACAAGTGGCAAATGAACTTCACTGACCTATGTTAGGAATGGCTGGCTTCACAACTGTATTCTGCAAATGTAAGGGTTGTGGAAATGCTGACAGATTCCCAGTATTTTTGACGCCCCGCGACGCGCTCCCCGGGATGCACCACAAACAGTGACACACCCAAAGGAATTCACTACAAATTATGGCAGAATCCTGCGAAACCCCTGAAAATCCATACTGAAGACCACTAGCAAGTATATCTGAGGGTAGCAAGGGTACACAATGTACTTCCGCCCAGTGTTTCAATGGACAGCACCAAGTGATTCAATGACACCACTAAAGACGAAGCTGTGTCCTGAAAGCCACAACTCTGAGATGCCGTCTGAGGCAGGTACTGAGAAGAAGCACAAAAGCAATCAGAAAACAACCACTGATGGACTAATTGGCTTTTTTCTGTACAATATATTGCTCATTTTACCCAGTTAGATACCACCATTATACAGACAGATGACTGACGATAATTCAAACTCTCTCAAAGGGCAAAGAACTTGTGAATCTGTCCAGCCTTTCCTCACCAATGGTGAGAATAGTGTGTATCAATTTAAACAACACTCCATACTGAAGACTAGAGTGCTGGTTTTCTAGGGTTAAACCAGGTATAGCCATCACATTACTATGTACTCCAGATCTCAGGTCATACATGAATCATGCTATAAGAAATTAGTCAACACATTTGCCTGCACTGATGTGTCAGTAGTTTTTCAATGTGTGATATTCAGAACACAACATTCAAGCTCAGGAGCACAAGGTCCACTCCCAACATTTCAGTTCATAAATTTGTAATGAAACTTCTTCTACTAATTCCGAGGTCGTACTGCATTGTCAGAGCTGCAAACTTGTGAATAAAACCCGAATCTGAAGTCTGTCCTCTCTGGTGAACATAGAATTCCTCTAGTGTGGGTAAAGGCCATTTGCCCCGTCAAGTCTGTACCAACCCTCTGAACGGCATCCAACACAGACCCATTTCCCAACCCCATTCCCATGACGAACCAACTAATCTGCAAATCCCTCGACACCAAGGGCAGTCTAGCATGACAAATCCATGCACATGGTAACCTGCTCATCTTTGGACTATGGGAGGAAACCAGAGCACCTGGAGGAAACCCACAGAGACTTGGGGAGAACGTGCAAACTCCTCACATCCAGTCACCCAAGGCTGGAATTGAACCCAGGTCCCGGGCACTGTAAGGCAGCAGTGCCAACTACTGTGCCACCCCAATATCACAACACCCAAATTAGAAGAACAACATAGCAGATGCCCTCAGCGCCCTGATCTACAAAGTTGCTGGTTCTAGCAGTGACAAAAGCCTAGTTCCAGACGAGCTGGAATCAGGGGGCTGCGCATAGATTTGGCCAGAAATATATAGCTGATTGGTCTGTGAATTGGTGACCAGTTATCAATGACAAAGTCGTCCTGCCTGCTAACAACTCTGTGACTGGCTCCAGAGTAGACAAACAGCTTGGGGGCAGAATATTCGGATAAGAAAGCATCAGACCCGGAAGGGAAGGAGCTATTTCTGCTCTGCAGCAAAATGCATCTCAAACTTGAAACAACCAATTTATTTCCCCTCATCAGTTGCTGTAAGCTGTGGCTTTTAATTAATAACTCAGGGACCTTTATAAATGTGAAAGTGTCACGCTGTGTGCCTCCTGCAAACAAGTGAAAGCATCTGGAGAAGGAAGATCAAGAAGCAGCAGAGTCTGATCAGCAAACTCTACAACAGGGACCACTGAACTGCCTCCAGAATTATTCCCTCTGCCATAACACCCATGTTTTGTTTGTGTCTGTGTGTGCACGCATGTGTATGTGTCTGTGTCTGTGTCTGTGTTTGTGTGTAGACAGGGAGATTTATAAATGAGTTAGATTCTAACTACTTGTTAAAATTCTATCTGTAATTGATAGGAATTCTTGTTAAGCACAAAAACCTGGTATGCGCTTTCCGGCAACATTAAAATTTTGTATATTTTTTAAAATTTTCAAATTTTGTGATGACTCCAGGAACAGTGGGGCTTGATTTCCAGTGCAGTGCCCCAAGGAGGTGTAACTCAATCAACATCACTAATAAAGATGATCTAGTCACTGTCAGGTGGTTATTTAGGGGATCTTGCTCTGCGCAAATCAGTTAGTTCCTACCTTACAACAGTGATTACACTTCAAAATGATTTTATTGGCTAAGGATGTGATATCCTGAGGTTGTAAAGGATGCTAGAGACTTGTAAAACTGACTATCTTAAGTAATTATGCCGAAGACTCTGGCACTAATTGATGAAAACCAGGGAGTGTTTTCCTGGTACCCTAGTCAACTATGGATCATCAAATAATATCAAGAAAATATTAATTGGTATTCATCTCATGACTGACCCAGAATGACTACTGTGTTCAACACTAAATGCCGTAAATATACTTCAAAGTAATTCACTAGACTTAAAGCTCTTCAGTGTGGAAGAAAATAGGAGATATTTCCAAGACATCCAACAGCATCTGAGCACTACTGGGTAGCAAGACTGAGCAATCTCTCAGCAGCTTGTTGGTTCAGCTTGGATATCATTTGCTTCAATTTAATAAAGATTCAACACATTAAAGGTGGCCCTGAAGCTGGGCTGCAGAATCAATGGTTTATCCATCCCTTGTGTGCACAGTATGTCTAATAGGAGGGAAGGCTAGACTCTGCATCCTTTGAATACAGTCGGCTGAATTCTCACCGTAACCGCTGTCTGCACCAATTACAATTACTGCTAGCCACCAGTATTTTGCATTCATTGCAAAATCCTTTAAGACAGCGGGAAGGATGAAATGTCTGATGAAGGATTTAATGCTGCCCCAGAAAATTGGATTATCTTCAAGTCCTAGGGTTGATTGCCTAAGAGTAATTTCAAGGCAGCCTCCCCTGGCAGGTGTGCTGGAACATGCCAGAAAACAGGGAGAGTCATGGCCCTGTGGGTATAAGTGCAGGGCTTTCGTTTACAGGCCCAAAATCATGCAGGGCAATGAGTAGTTCATTCAATTCAGAGCCTCTCAAAAATAAACACCAAGCTGCAGCAAGCTTCTGCTTGCAATAAGTTTAATCTTTTCCACTTCCTGAGGCAAGTTTCTCCACAACTACTCTTTTCTCTTCCATTTTGCACCAGTTCTTCTCTCTTTTCTGAAGGTACTGTGGAGGGGGGCGCCGGGGTATTGTCGGTTAAAACCCAGAACACTAAAACTGTGTTGCACTCTATCTATAGCCAAACATCCTTCATCGGATAAGGAGACCAAGACTACAAACACAAATCCAGGTATGGCTTCACCAAGGCCCTGCATAATTGCTATAAGACATCGCTGCTCCCAGTCCCAATAACTTGTTTATCGTAAGTTGAGAGAATTACTACATGGAAAAAAATTATTTTCATCAAAATGATCTATCATTGAAAGAGAATTGCAAAGTACATAAACTATCTGATGAAATGTATAGAATTCCTTTATACACTGGGCAGATAAAATCTGCCAAAGCACACTGAACTGTGTTTTGAAACAGTGGTTCAATATCATAGCATATTGATATCCTGCAGTGTTATGCCTCGACAATAATGATGTGTATTCAATTTCCCAAGATTATTTGTACAATGAATTATTGATATCAGTAGCATTGCTAAGGTTGAAGACTAGAGTGAGAGTTATGCTGTGGACAATAGCAAGGGACTTTAAGGAAACAAGGGGAGGGAGGCAGACCCCTTCTGCTCTCATTCATATAGAAACACAGAAGGTAGGTGCAGGAGTAAGCCAGTTAGCCCTTTGAGCCTGCTCCACCATAATGATCATGGCTGAGGATCCAACTCAATAACCTGTTCCTGTTTTTCTTGTCTACCCTTTGATCTCTTTAGCCCCAAATGCTACATCTAGCTCCTTGAAATCATACAACATTCTGGCCTTGACTACTTTCTGTGATAGTGAATTCTATACACTCACCACACTCTGGGGGAAGAAATTTTTCCTCATATCGGTCATATATGGTTTAACTCATATCCGTAGACTGTGACCCTGTGACATTGTAAATCAGGAAGGATGTTCCCAATGTCTAATCCTGTTAGAATTTTATAGGTTTCTGTGAGATTCCCCCACGCATTCTTCTGAACTAAAGTGAATATAATCCTAATCTATTCAACCTCTCCTCATATGTCAATCCCACCATCCCAGGATTGGTCTGGTAAATCTTTGCTGCTCTGTCTCTATAGCAATATTATTGTTCAGAATATTGGCCCTGCAAACATATTGTCTGAGATCACCTAACCGAACATGAGGTACGGCTCAGCTACTGCCTGTCGTAAGTTCGATGGTTCTTCTACATCTTGGGAGGGCTCATCAAGCAAGGCCATATGGGTAGAATTTAGGAATAAGGGGCATAAGGGCAGCACAGTGGCTAAGTGGTTAGCACTGCTACATCACAGCGCCAGGGACCTGGGTTCGATTCCAGCCTTGGTCAACTGTCAGTGTGGTTTCCATGGTCTCCCTGTGTCAGCATGGGTTTCCTTCAGGTGCTCCAGTTAGGCAGATTGGCCATGTTAAACTGCCCCATACTGTCCAGGGATGTACAGGCTAGGTGAGTTAGCCATGGTAAGTGCAGGGTTATGG